CATTTTTATGCTCTGATTGGTCAAAATTTGACAGATGGTTCATGCAGAAAATTTATACAGCATCTTGAAACTTGTTTACTTTGACAGCTGAAGCTGACTGAATTTTTTGTCAACTTGTGATGTTTTTTACTGTCTTTTTCCACTGGATGCATAAAATGAAATACAGCTGCTATCAACAGTCTTCTGTTATTCATGGCTGGTTTGTTTATTGAATTTTTGGTTGAGAAATGCGCCGCTTGTCAAAGTTGGAAATCCGATTTCGGATGACATCGTTTTCGTTTTTCACATTGCTGGATGCGGGTTGAAAAGTCCCTCAAGCGATTCCGGCCTTACTTGATAGCTCTCAGGAGCTGCCTCTCGAATGGTAAGCCTGAGTAATTATTCTATAAAGTTTATGTGTTTGTTTTTTTGTTTTTTTTATATCTAATTTCATGAAGTCGAGCGCAGTTTATGAGGCTAGTTTATGCACGTTTGTATTAAGATCTGAGACAATGATCTGATATAGTATGAGGTTTGATATAAGCTTACAGAACTTTAAAAAGCCTTTAGTCGATATCTTCTCTCCGCAAGTAGAAATAAAAACGTTCCGAAGAGTATTTAGTTATAATTTTGGCTGTGGAAAGAAAGCTTTTAGCGATTTTCCTGCTTCGAGTTCATCTTTGAAAACAGTAAACACCAGGAAGCCGGCTAAAAGCTTTAAGCTTAAGCTTAAAGACTCAAGGATTTTTAGAGACGCTTTAATAGTTGTCTTCGTGAATGAAAATTGTTGTATCTTTAAATGTTTCACCTAATTACATTTCTTTTATTGACTGTTAGTAGTCTCTTGCAATTTTAATCGCTTTGCCGTTTGTTTTCCGTCGTTCATAAACATCGCTTGCAGGAGTACTCAAAATGCCGCGCGTATCAAACGCTTTTTAAGATTACACATCGTTATAAAACCAGTCAAAAAAAAAAAATAAGCACAGTAAATTCTTTATTATGTTGAAGCGTAACTCTTTTAATGTTCACTGAAAATTTGGCGCTTGTCAAAAGTGACAACCGGCTGGCCGTATAGGTGATTTTGGAAATTTTTTGAACGGTTTTGCTAAAAGCCCACGCGTGCTTTGTACGGTTCTGAATATTGGATGGGTTCAATTTGTCTTGAAAAATTGTGAAATACTGCATTTTGTCTGAGGTTTGTATGATAAAAACAGCGCCTCATATTACTGTTTCGCCTCAGATGTGATGTATAAAAAGTATGAAATGTTGGTTTACACGCACCCAGGGTAAACTTGTCGAACGCAAAAATTCGGCCTGATTTGTTTTCCAAGAATCCGTTTTCCAGGCCTAATCTACTGGGATCAAGAGCCATTATGGCTCTTAAATGTGATCGAAGATGATTGCTATTTTTTGAGTGTATATATACGGCTATCAATTCGAGGTAAGATTTCTTTTCGTTCCAAAATCACTTAGCCTTAGCTTTCATTAAAAAGTCACATATGTGCCCGTAAGTTAACTGATTTGTGCATTACAAGTTTATTGTTTGATTTAAATTATGAATTTAGTAATGGGAGCTTCGCTTTTAGCCCTGGCTAAATCTATATATTGCCTTGGAAATACGGACGATTAAAACATGTTTTTCTTAATACTGTGTGTGTCGGATTGTTGTTAGCGTATAGCATACAGCTACAGCCTGAACTGCAAAGTCGTGATAAGTTAACAAACAAAGCAACTTTTCTATACCAATAGCACAAGCAACGTCTGTACCACCTTCTGCTCAAGCATCTTGTAATTTTGACTATGGATTGTGTTATGGATGGAGTCAGTCTTCCTTAGACATATTTGACTGGACACGCCAAAGAGGAAGTACTTCATCTTCAAATACGGGGCCTTCATCAGATCACACTACTGGAAACGGTACGTACAATACTGTATATACATGCATTCTGTAAATAATGTTAAAAAGGGCTCTGTCTTCTGAAAATGTAACAGATGTAAATGAATTAGACTATATCGTACAGCGCGGCTTATGAGCTCCACCAATTCCGATACAAGCCTATCTCTGAATGTATTGAAATGGATTCCGTTTAACTGCAGCTTGATGAAAAAAAAAAAACAAAAAAAAAAATTAAATTATATTCAAAACTTTTTTGATCAGCACTGCTATAGCTTGTTTCGAAGCATTTATCATTATTAATATTATTACCATTAATAAGCCTCTCCGTTTATAACCCCTCCTAATATCCTATTACGAAGATTTGTTATATGGCTGAGTCTGTTTTCGCCATGCGATTGGTCAATTTGCGGTCCGTAACTTGCCATACGGACCAAGATTTTTAAAGAAAATTCCCATTTCGGAGCTCTAAATCTCTTTTCCTTGGAAAAAAGGTTCAAATAAAGTATAATTCAGACGACTGTCAACCTTGAGGACTTGGATGTTGACTTTGGCCTTCAACATTTTAAACTGTGTTTATTTGTGAACGAAGGCGATGAAGAAACTAACTGGTAATCTTATAAAAGAGGATTCTAGTCAGTGTTTGAAAATTTTATTACAATTCAGAGTTAAGAAGGCGAAGATCGACTGGCAGAGATTCGAGGTGTTTTCCTTAATATAAATGAGTAATTCCTGCGACAAATAAGATAACAAACATACCTGCACCCGATCATCTTGACAAGTTTCTTTGCCATTTGCAGTTTTTTTTTCAAAGACCAGCGAGTTCGAGCCAGACACAATGCCCAGTTTTCGAAAGACTCCCGCGTCACACTAACGAGTGAATACTTACAGTGCTCTTAGGTGTGACCGAATAAACTTTAAAATATGTCTGTAAACCCCGAGGAATGGGATGTTGACTTCGCCTTTCCAACTTTTATCCTAGCTTTGTTTGATTTATGTTATGAATTTGTTAACGGGAGCTTCGCTTTTAGCCCTGGCTAAATCTATATATGAAAAGTAGGTTGAGTTTGATAGTCCGGGTGAAACGTAGTCCTGAATAGGACTGTTGTTGTTGACAGTGACCGACTTTTCGACAACCTGTGCAATAGTCATTTTCAGGGTCAAAGTAGTTGTATCACGTCAGTCGTTGGTATTGTACTCTGTTTATTGACCTGATTGACCTGTCAGTTGTCCAGTCGTTCTTTCGCAGTTAGTTTTGCTTAATTCCGTTAATGAGTCGTTTCTACGTATAGTGCCGGTAACTGTTGACTACGAGGCAGTGGCGTTTGTTCTAGAACAGGACTACGTTCACCCTACCTACATTTGAAGTGACTCCTGGGTTCAAACTTTCCACAGAATCAGTATTATTATCTTTATGCTCTTTCAGGATACTACATGTATATAGAGACTTCGTCTCCTAGGCGACAAGGTGACAACGCAAAACTTCAGGTGTCTGTTTCTGGAAATGGAGCAGCAGCTTGTCTCGTTTTCTATTATCACATGTATGGTGATACCATAGGTTTTTTTTAAATACTGTGTGTGTCGGATTGTTTGTTAGCGTATAGCATACAGCTACAGCCTGAACTGCAAAGTCGTGATAAGTTAACAAACAAAGCAACTTCTCTATACCAACAGTACAAGCAACGTCTGTACCACCTTCTGCTCAAGTATCTTGTAATTTTGACTATGGATTGTGTTATGGATGGAGTCAGTCTTCCTTAGACATATTTGACTGGACACGTCGAAGAGGAAGTACTTCATCGTCAAATACAGGGCCTTCATCAGATCACACTTCTGGAAACGGTACGTACAATACTGTATATACATGCATTCTGTAAATAATGTTAAAAAGGGCTCTGTCTTCTAAATGAATTAGACTAACTATACCGTACAGCGCGACTTATAAGCTCCCCCAATTCCGATATAAGCCTATCTTTAAATGTATTGAAATGGATTCCGTTTAACTGCGGCTTGATGAAAAAAAAAACAAAAATAAATTATATTCAATTTTTTAACTTATTTGATCGGCACTGCTATAGCTTGTTTCGAAGCATTTATCATTTTTAATATTATTACCGGTAATAAGCCTCTCCGTTTCTGACGCCTCCTAATATCCTGTTACGAAGATGTATTAGCCCAGGGCTTATAAGCCGCAGTTTACAGTTTTTAATAACTGCCATTTTCTTCGTTTGTTTTTGTGGTTTTTCAGTCATGTTTATTTTACTCCCTTATGCAGAATTATCTTGTCGATATTAGAAACAAATATCAACTGATTAACCTAACTGTGTGACAGAATTTTCATTATTAGTTAATTGCCTTTTAATTACTTATGCATACTGAGCACAAAGAATTTGAGATTACGACGCCTTAAAAACCCATCTCTTTGGAAGGTTTTGTTTTTCTTTTTTAAATATCGTTAATCCTCGTTCATACTGGGTTGTTTTGTTTGGGAAGAATTTGTTTTCCAGGCCTAATCTACTGTCACAGAAGATGATTGCTCTTTTTTGGTGACATTTAATTTTGAAGTTTAATTTGGTTAACCCTTGAACTTGAACTCTCTGTAAAATCACCTAGCCCTTCCCTCAAAATTCTTATGAATGTGCCCTAAAGTTAAATGATTTGTGGATTACAAGTTTATTGTTTGATTTATGTTATGAATTTTGTTAACGGGAGCTTCGCTTTTAGCCCTGGCTAAATCTATATATGAAAAGTAGGTTGAGTTTGATCGTCCCGGTGAAACGTAGTCCTGAATAGGACTGTTGTTGTTGACAGTGACCGACTTTTCGACAACCTGTGCAATAGTCATTTTCAGGGTAAAAGTAGTTGTATCACGTCAGTCGTTGGTATTGTACTCTGTTTATTGACCTGATTGACCTGTCAGTTGTCCAGTCGTTCTTTCGCAGTTAGTTTTGCTTAATTCCGTCAATAAGTCGTTTGTACGTACAGTGCCGGTAACTGTTGACTACGAGTCAGTAGCGTTTGTTCTAAAACAGGACTACGTTCACCCTACCTACATTTGAAGTGACTCCTGGGTTCAAACTTTCCACAGAATCATTATTATTATCATTATGCTCTTTCAGGATACTACATGTATATAGAGACTTCGTCTCCTAGGCGACAAGGTGACAACGCAAAACTTCAGTTGTCTGTTTCTGGAAATGGAGCAGCAGCTTGTCTCGTTTTCTATTATCACATGTATGGTGATACCATAGGAACTCTTAATGTTTACAGCGGGAATGAGCTGGTTTTCAATGTATCTGGGAACCAGGGTTTGTACTGGATACCAGCAATGAAAACGATATATTTGCGCAACAATGTAAGTTTGATATGGTTTGCTTCTCAAAAAATCACGACTGATGTTCCTTGATTTCAGGTGGCTAAAATCTTCCCATAATATTTGCAGGAAATCTTTAAATATTATTTTAAGAGGTCATCAGTTAAAAATGACGCTTTTATGAAAATTATCTATCACATGACCTTGCCGACCTTCATCCTTTATTTTTTTTTTAATCTTCTGTGATTTATCAGATATACCGAGTGTCAATGCTTTAAATTAGATACTCGCACAAGTGAAGTATGTTTTGAAATTGCATGTGTGCTACAACGGACCACTGGGTATAAATCTAATTCTGAGGGTAATGTGAATGTTAGTTTGCTTTCTGTTGATTACCTCTCTTTTTCAATCATAGGTTTTTAAAATTTTATTTCGGTTTCCGCTCGCAGCAATCCAACTTATTTGACTTACCCCAACTGTTTAAAGACTTCCCATTTTCCACAATTGTATTTTATTTATAGGTAATATTTGAAGGAATTGCGGGGTCGTCATATACAGGAGATATCGTTATCGCTGATGTGGGAATGACTAGTTATTTATTTGTTTATTTTTTTTATTTCGCAACGGTCTCCCCTTGCCGCGATCCAACTTGTTTGATTTTCTCCAAGTGTTTAAAGACTTCCCATTGCTTTGTACTTCAATTATAGATAATCTTCGAAGGTATTGCGGGGTCTTCATTTACAGGAGATATAGCTATCGATGACGTAGCAATCGCCAATGGAAGCTGTAAAAATTCCACTGTGTTGCCGACAAATCCGGGACCTGGAGGTACATAGTCCAATAGTTGATTATGCTTAAAAGTATTTGGTTACATTCATATTGTGCTTATGTGTATCACCGCAGCTGCGTGTTATCCCCCCAAAATTTAAGATGGACAAACAAGGAAAGCATTTTGATTTATGGGAGGCAGCATAGCAGAGTGGTTAATACTGGCAGTCCTGGACTTCAGTCCCGCCCAGACCACTACAGCTTGACTTGTTTTTCGGTCATCGAAAATTTAAATGGACCACGCTTGTAAATAGCTACAGATTGCCATTTGCAAGTTGTTTTTGTTTTTGTTGTTATTATTGCTTTAAAGGTGGCTTCTATATGGATTATTCATTGTTGAGCTATTTTGAAAAAAACAAATAGCTCATATGTCAATGGTGTTAGCATATGTCTGTTTGTGGCTTTGTGGCTTTGTCTGTTCGGATGTGTGTTGCAGGGGCCAATAAGGTAAGGTACTAAGAGATACTATGCTAGCTACCAATGTGATTTTGGCATCTAAACATGACATTGCTGCCATGCCATGATCCAGGTAAAAGGCCCTGAGTTGAAATCTCGCCCTTAACTCATGCTGGATTTGTCTTTCGCATTCCCGAAGATTTTTTTCGTTGGTATTATATGTAGATACGTTATTCGAGTTAATTAAAATTTACGTCTGAAATTAAGTCATGCTACAGACTTTCAATTAAACGTACGCGCCTGATTTAGTACTATAAACACCGCTGTCCTCTACTCCGCTTTAAAAATGCACGAGTTCTTAAGCAAGGTCATGGGATCTAAACATTTTTGTGTGTGTTTTCAGTTTTATTTTACCATTTTTAGGTTTACGGCTGGTTGGAGGATCTGGAAGCTGGGAAGGAAGAGTTGAAGTTTATTATAATAACATCTGGGGAACTGTTTGTGATGACTCCTGGGATATATATGACGCGCAAGTTGTTTGTCGTCAACTTGGGTTTCCTGGAGCGATAAGTGCTCCAGGGTCTGCCTGGTTCGGCACCGGAAGTGGTCAAATTTGGCTGGATGATGTTGCATGCTCGGGAACTGAAAGTTCTATAGGGTATTGTCAGCACAGCGGATGGGGTATCCATAACTGCGTTCACAGTGAAGATGCATCTGTGATATGCGCAGGAGGTACGTCGTACGTCGCATTATTGTCATATTATGTGGGTTTCGCTTAGGATAGTACCGACCATTCTGATATAGATGGTGTAGATAACTGATTAAATAAATGTTAATTTGACGCACATATTACATTGTATAACCAATGTAATGAAAAAGTACATTGGTAACAGAGTTGAGGAAAAATATGTTTTATTTTGTTTTTGGTTTTGATTTTGTTGTTTTTTTACTCTTGTTGTTGTTGTTGTTGTTGTTTTTTTTTAAATGAGTATGTGACAATGAATTTTTCAGAGCGTCCTGGTATAAATGCTTTAAAAACGAGTTTTACAATGTTAGTTAAGGAACATAGAAAATATCATTTTTAAATGATAAAACATTTCGTCTTTACTGTAATTTTGTTTGTATATTTGCTGCCACCTGAACTTAAAGTCGGGAAACGTTAAAAGAATATTTAGCTTCTCAACTTGTCTATACTTAATGATGTTTTGAGTTCATAATTATCCTATAATTCTCTTTCTTTTATTTTTTTTTCTGCGGCCCTACAGTCAACTGTCGCCTTGAGGGCACACTGTTATGACGGACAACGCTATACGGACAGCAGCTAAATGTCAGGCAAAAAAGGAATTACAGATTTTCGACTGAAATAAACTCCCGCTATTACGGACTCTCGTAGTCGAGCGTGACGACATTAAAAACGGCTGTGTAGCAGACTAGGACTCTCACTAAAAAGGACAATAATTTAAGGCCCCTGTAGTGTCCGGTGTAAAGAGAGTGGAGTATATTCAATTAACTTGTTGGCATTGTTTATTTCATAGTTTGCGGAGGAAGTTTAAATCAATCATTTGGCCAGCTACGTTTTGGCCGGAAAGGTTATTACGGTAATCTGCTGTGCACCTGGTCAATTGGAAATGTAGGAATCCAGCAAGCAGTTGCACTTATTTCAATACAAGAACTCTACCTGTCATATTACAAGCGAGTTAAATGAAGCAATGTCTTCCATAGGGAATTAATAAGATTTATTTTTTTTCACTTTTTTGTTCAAAGCCGAGCGGTGGTTTTGCAAAATGTAGAACTTGTAAAAGATATTATCAAAGGAACGCGATAATTAAATTATTATTATTATTACTATTATTATTATTATTATTATTATTATTATTATTATCATTATTATTATCATTATTATATAAACACCAGTGAAATACCACGTGAGCTTTCGTGCGACAACTGGATATCTGCACATGTGAAAATAACATGTTATCTTCACATGGGAAAATATCACCGTACAATTGCTATGGCTTCATAATAAACCGCTCCTTTCAGACCAAAAAAACTATTTAAGTAAAATGGTTTGGTATTTCATTGGCGTTTATATAATAAATAGAGCATTACATGGCCGCTTGGAGATACGAAATTTCTCACTCGTGAAATATTTTTCAACACTCGAACAAAAATTTCGTATCCCCGCGCAGCCATGAAATATCCTCTATTTCTACTGTTGTCTTACGTGTGTAATGCACAAATGTGTTGAACGTTGAATAGATGAACGGATTGAGGGCGGATGATTTGAGTGGGTTGGAAAGATTTGGGAATAAAACGACAGCGATAATAGATGAGTGGAAGGATGAAAGGCAGATAAGCTCTAATCCAGCGTTAAAATGTTGTTTCGTTTTTGTATTTTACCTTCCTATGTTATGGTTGGAGCAAAATTTAAAGTTATCCAGTTACTGTATCGCGGAAAAAAAGGCTAAACAGTATTTTGTAAGCTAGAGTTGCACGTTCTTATATAGGAAATTCTTGCTTAAAGTTTGGCTTAAACCTGGGTTAAACTTAACCGTCCTTCGGGGAACCGGGCCAGGAGAAAAAAAAAAACAAATCCAAAAAAAAACATGGCCGAGAATAGCTAGGTTACCACTATCAATGACAAAAGATGTTCTTTTTTTCCTCTTTATTTTACAGTGAATACGTTAAAATAATGGATGGGAGCGGTGCAACTGTGCTTATTCGTTATGGATACTCATCGACTCCCCAAAAACCTTTTAGGGAAGTTAATTTTGGAAACTCTGAGAATATCACCGTTGAAGTCTATCTGTATGGTAGTTACAGCAGTGTCAGGCTTCAATTCGGAATTGTACAGCTTGGATTACAATCGGGTTAGTTTCATCATTTTAGTTAAAATAACATTAATATTGCGAGCTTTAGTATTTCTCATCATACATGTACAACACCTAAAGAAAGCACAGATCTCCATTTTACAGACTTACTTTTCTTATGCGTAATAAACGGACATTTGTTGATTGAAGCTCTTAATTCTAACAATCAAAATAAGAGGTAAAAGGTAAAATTAAAGTGCCTTATCATCATCATCATCATAGCGAATAATAATAATAATAGTTATAATAATAATAATAATAATAATAATAATAATAATAATAACAATAAAAATAAAAATAAAAATGAGGAGCACTCGAGGATATCCTTTCTTTGCCCATGTATATTCCGGTAAAATTTATTTTAGTTTTACACCTAAGTTTTTCTTGATTTTTTGTCGTGGTTACCCTGGCAATTTTCCAGATTTATTCCATTCATACATATTTTCTAAACTGATAGTCTTAAACAAAAAGTTTAGCATATAAACAGAAATTGGCAAAATAAAACAAAACAAAACGAAAAAAAAAAAAAATAGACAAAAACAACAAAAATGTGTGTATCCAAATGCTGGCTTTCAAACTAAGCGCATTACGAAGAAAACTAAAACTTTGGAACTTCCACTAGTTTACAACAACAAAAACCAGGGTTCTAGCCAGAATTATCGTTTGGGGGCCGGAGAAGTCCCGAGAGGCCGAAGGCCACAAGCTTCCTAGCGGGAAATGAATTCGCGCTGCGGTGCAATCTGGTGCATTTTGAGACAATTTTGAGAGATGTTTTATCATCTCTCATTTTATCATCGTCGTGATCATGTTCCTTGTCATTTAGTGTGCTTAGACAAGGAATACTTACTTCATCTGCACTGACCTCGTTGCTTCTGAATGATTTGGAGGGGGGGGGAGGGGCTGGGGGCAGGAAGCTTCTACTCCACAAATATCCTAGATAGACAACAACAACAACACAAACAGAAATCACTCCACGTGAACTTTTACATTGATATGTCAATTCTAAACGAGGCTGACATGTCTTGATCATATTGTAAAGCGTACAAACGTGATTTTAGAGGGGATACCGTACGTCTTTCCTCTCATTACTCGGCTACCTATGCGAACGGATTTGGAAGCTCTTGCCAATTCGAATCTGGGCGTTGCAAATAACGCGGCGAAATTTAATTTTAATAAACATTCTTAAACTGAACCATCGCTGTAACCTCTATCATCATCGTTAACTAATAAACTTTATTGCTGTCTTTTTAGCTCAGCTAGTGTCCAGTTGGAATGTATCCATTGATAACAAAACAGCAACTAGTATGGGAGTTTCTTGGAAAAATCTATCAACATTGCTGAGCCAAAACATTCTGCACTATCTAACTGTCATAAAAAGTGGCAATAGAAGTATAGTGAGTGGAAATATCCTGCAAGGAAATACCACATCTGATGTTTTGTACGGACTGTCGCCTTATATGGAATATCGACTCAATGTTCTTGGTGTAAATGATAACGGAAATGTTTACAAGACTTCAGAGGTCACAGAGTGGACTGAGGAATCGGGTATGTTTATAGAATTTACAGCGCAATTACGTTATTGGTAAAGCCTTGTTTCTAACTTATCCATAATTGCCTTACATGCTGTATTTCTTCCAGTTCCTGGTCGTGCTCCTAACAATATAACGTTCTCTGAAGTAAGAGAAACGCAGTTCAAGGTTACTTGGAATCCTCTTCCTCAGCAGTTTCACAATGGCAGATTG